AAGAAAGATTTACACTCCACGCTCATGGCGCTGCAGGCCAGTCTTAAAGCTCACGCAAGAGAGGAGAGGAAAAGGATTGGGAGGACGATCTCGCACTTGGAAGATAGGGTTGCGGCGCTAAGGCAAGAATTCATGGCGGACTCAAGCCTGGGAGGGAAATACGAGGAGCTGGTCAAGTTCGAGGCACAACTCAAAGCATACCGTGATAGTCAGAGGAGGCGGAAGCAGACGATGGCAGGGGTTGGAGATGAAATGAACGGTGAAATTGCGACGAAAGTTCTAATGCGGAGAATAACGGCGCGGAAAACGAAAACGGTAATAAAGGAGATAGTGAGTGAGGCAGTGAAGTATGAAGGAGAAAGGGAGGTCCTGACGGCGGCGTCGGCCTTCTTCTCCAAACTCTTTCGAGCAAAGCAACGGGTTGCAGGGGTGGCTGAGTGGCAGATGGACCCTCTAAAAACTCTGGATGTAGAAGCAGTGGTGAAGCTCTCTGCGCCTTGGTCTGAAGAGGAAGTCAGACAGGCGATGAAGGAGCTCCCAAGGGGGAAAGCACCGGGAGCAGACGGCCTGCCAAAGGAACTGCTGGAGGACAACTGGGATCTGCTGGGGGAATCAGTGATGGATTTCATGAGGGATTTCGAGAAAACGGCGGAACTACCGAAAAGTGCATCAACGGCGGTTACTATTCTACCGCATAAAAAAGGGGAAAGGTCGGACTTGGGGAATTACAGGCCAATTACCTTATTGAGTGCGACATATAAGATTGTGGCGAAGCTACTGGCAAACATGATGAAGGGGGTCTTACCGCAGGTCATCTCGGAGAATCAGTTTGGTTTCGTCCCAGGTCGGCGGCTGGCGGATGCGGTCAAGGTGGTAGCTGACACGATTGATGCCGCTGTGACAGGGAAGGAGGATTGGTATCTACTTCTTGTTGACTTTCAGAAAGCTTATGACTCGGTGTCAAGGAGCTTCCTCTTCCGCACCCTGGAACGCATGGGCTTCCCGAGTGAATTCATCAAGTGGACCAAAGGGCTGCATGACCAGGCAGCGACGCAACTCCTGATCAATGGATGGTTGGGGGAGAGGGTGGAGGTGGAGTCAGGAGTAAGACAGGGGTGCCCACTTGCACCTTACCTCTTCATCTGTGCAGCTGAACCATTAAGTCAGGAAGCGGAAAAAAGGAAGCTGGGGTTGAGGAAGAGGGGCAAAGGAGGGCTGGCGTACCTGGGGTACGCGGGCGATACAACCTTCCTGCTCCAAGGGAAGGAGCAGCTCAAGCAGGCACAGAGTTTGCTGGATGACTTCAGTGCTCAGTCGGGGTTGCATGTTAACCAAGGGAAGTCCACGGTGATGCCGCTGGGAAAGAACAGGCCGAATCCCACGCCTGTGGACACATTTTTTTCGAGAAATATCGAACTTTGAAGCGTGCACTTTTGACCACTATCACATTTTCGACTCTACTGCGTCATATTAGCCATTTATGAAAAAATTGTGTACCCAGTGTTCGACTTTCGCCTTTGTTGGATATTCGAAATCACAAATTCGATTTATTGAACCTGCTGGAAAAACGAACACGCCCTAAGCCTTACGGGAATCGCACATTATCGTGCTCAACAGCTTGAGCTGAACGAGACTCGCCCTCCTCATCTCATTCATTCCAAGTTTGTTTCTTGTTATCCTGTGTGCTGACCTCAGCGTCCATCCCTTCCCGTCCCGTCCCAGGGACCACCAACGAATGCCAGTGTCGTGGCCAGAATATTACCAGCATTTCACGCTTGCTTCCCTCAATATCCCGCACCTACTATCAACGAGAAACCAAACAATATTGTTTTAAAAGAGAATTGGTGTTCTTTATTGCCGCGTTCCAGGCGCCAGGCGTGCGCTAGTAGTTTAGCGGTATATTGGGCTAAGTCTTCTCTTTACCCCCGCACTTTCCTCTTCACGCGTAGACTCGTCTCCCGCGGCGCGCCTACTAGCCATGGCGTCTGCGCCAGCGGTTGTCCCCTCTGCCGCGCACTGCGCGAGGAATCTTCGCCACTCAGCACCAGCTTCCGCCAGTCTCCTTACATTCGCGCCCGCCGCTTATTCCCCCGCCCCTACGGCGCGCGCGGCGACGGCGCCCCGCGTTGCAGCGATTGGCCGGCCGGCTGCGCCGACTCCGCGATCGGGTCTTGCTTCTTCCACCGAGGGCGCAGATTTCCGCCTTTCCTCGGACAGGTGCCGGCAGGCAGAGAGGGATGGACGGTTGGGGGGTACGGAGTAGCGGAATGTGGGGAAGGGGAATGATGAAAGGGGAGTGAAGAAGGGGGGTGGGGAATAGGGAATTGTGGAAGGGAAAGGGGGTTTTAAGGCTGGGGAAGAAAATGTGGGCAGGGAAGCTTTCGAATTGTTTGTTTTCAACGTTTTCTTCTGCCCGGGCTGCCTATCAGTGGTCATAATTTTGTGTTTGCCATGTAACTCTTAAACCCTTAATTCTCAACCCTCTACATCTCATACATATACGTGCGTGCGTGCGTGCGTGTGTGTGCGTGCGTGTGTGTGCGTGTGTGTCTGTGTGCGTGTGTGTGTGCGTGCGTGCTTGCGCGCTCATATCTTGTGTCATGTCATGGATGTACGTGTGTGCATGTGCATGTGCATGTGCATGTGCTGGCCCATGTGCATGCAGGCATGGCCAGGTGTCCGCATGCACCTCATCGTCCCACTCCGGACTCTCTCTCTCCTCCGTTTGCGCCGCCTCCACCACCAACATCACCACCACCAGTGTCAACACCACCTCTCCCACAAACCCCAAACCCGCCTCTCTCCCACCAATCCGCAGCAGCAGCAGCAGCAGTGGCAGCAGCAGCAGCAGCAGGCTGGGCAGCAGGGGTCGTGCCTCGTCTGCTGTAGCAGCACACGGCCTCAACCCTGGAGCGTCGCGTGGTGCGAAGGGAAGACACAGCAGCTGCTTGGGTGGACAGAACAAGCCGGATCATCACCACCGGCTTTCTTCACACGCTCATGCCCATGAAAGCCAGCAGCAGACGTGGCGAGGCGAGGATGATGAGTGCGCGGAGCTCAGTTCAGGGGAGGAGGAGGGAGGGGCTTACACTCTCGCACATTCGCTCTCTCGCCATAGTGATAGTTACTCTAATGGTTCTGCTGCCATCCCAGAGAAACACTCGCACTCACCCTCACACTCGCCCTCCCATCCGCAAGCATACTCCCAGCACCATCACCAGCAGCAGCAGCAGCAGCAGCCGCACTCGGCAACCCTCAACGGGCACAAGAGCGAGAAAACAGCAGCGGCATGGGAAGCAGCAGCAGCTACAGCAGCGGCAGCATCAGCAGCAGAAGGATCAACAGCAACAGCAACAACAGCAGCAGCAGCATTACGCGTGAGGGAAGGCGGTTTGGCCGACGGGGCAGCAGCAGCAGCGCGGCCGCGGTGGCGCCGGGTGCTGCTGAAAGTCAGTGGCGAGGCGCTGGCAGGTGATGGCTCCTCCAACATCGACGCCCAGGTGGGATGGTTGGGATGGGGGTGGTGGGGATGGTGGGGATGGTGGGGATGGGGATGGAGATGGGGATGGGGATGGGGATGGGAGTGGGTGGGGATGGGGGCTTACTTAACCCTTGAAGCCATCTTTTTGCCAGCAACATGTTTTGAGTGCATTTCCCCTTTCCCCCCTCCCTTCCCAACCCCCGACCCCCGCCACCCCTTTCCCATTCCCTTCCCTCCGGCATCCCGTCTCCTCGCATTTCGTTCTCAGATCCTGCTTTTGTCATCTGCACCACCACCCCTGCCTTCCCCGTGCCCTACCCTCTGGCATCTCATCTCATCTCCTCATATGGCCAGCATTGCTTGGGGCCTATTTTAGAGACGAATATAAAATGGACATCTGCACCTCCCTCCCGTCCCTCCCTTCCCATTCCGTCCTCCCCACCCTCCTCCTTCCCCCATCTCCTCCCCTCCCCCCTTCCTCCCCCCCCACACGCTGCGTGTGTCCGTCCGTCTGGCCGGCCATGGCAGATTCTCACCAGCATTGCCCGGGAAGTGGCTCACATTAGCCGCAGAGGCGTGCAGGTGAGGAGCGATTGGGGCGAGGGGGTTGGGGGAGGAGCGGGAGGAAGGAGGGAAGGGAAAGGGGGGTGGGGGAAGGGAGTGGGGGGGGAGGGGAGTGGCGGGGAATGGAGAGAGAAGGGGAGAGGGGAAGGCTGGTTGGGTTGTGGTGGATGTGATGTGACGTCTGGTGAAACTCCAGTGATTGTTTCTTTGTTTGGGTGGCTGGCAACGGAGTCTGCTGTTGCGTGAGTGCGTTGGGATATCGTCATCATATCGTCCAGCCCAATCCTGCCTATTTCCCCTCCTCGGTCCCATAAATGAGAGAAACCCTTCATTTCGTTTACCCTCAAGGGCGGCTCCCCCGCACCCAACCTTGCTTCCCTTCTTCCTGTGCGGTGCGGTCCAGGTCCGTCCAGTCCCTTGCTCTCCATCCAGGGACCTATGTTTCACACTCCTTCCCTTCCCCCCGCCCAACCCCCCTGTTACATTACACCTGCTTCGCCTCCACATGCTCACCTTTTACACCTGACCTTACCACCCCTACCAACCCCGCCACCAACCCTACCAAACCTACCTTGCTTCCCTTCTTCCTCCCCCGCACTCCCCCCCGTGCCTCCTTCCTTCCTACCGCCCCTTCCATCCATCCCTCTGCAATCTCCCTCCTCTTCCCTCCCCCGCCCGCAGGTGGCGGTGGTGGTGGGAGGGGGCAACTTCTTTCGAGGGGCCAAGTGGTCGGGCGTCAGTGGGCTCGACAGGGCATCGGCAGACCACATAGGGTGGGTGGGGGGGTTAGTTGGTTGGGTGCGTGGGTGGGTGGGTAGGTGCGTGGGTGGGTGGGTAGGTGCGTGGGTGGGTGGGTATATGCGTGGGTGGGTGGGTAGGTGCCTTGAGTCGAGTTAAACCACATTGGGGGGATGGTTTACTCAGGTCGCACTCTTGTGAGCAATAGGGCTTAGAAATGGACAGGACGCATTATGAGAGCAAATGGGGAGAAGAAGAGAGGCCACATGTGTGTGCGCTCCCTCCCTCCCCCGTCACACTTTCTCCACACACATCCCATCCCTGCTTCTCCCCCATCTCTTCTCTCCCCGCCTCGTCTGAACTGAAGCATGGTAGCAACAGTGATGAACGGCATATTCCTGCAGGCGTCTTTGGAGAGCGAGGCCGTGACATTACTCCCATATCCCCCCTCCACCCTCCATTCCTTCCATCCTTCGGTCTCTCCCTTCCCCCCTCTCCAACCTCACGCCTTCCACACAGCATGCTAGCAACGGTGATGAACGGCATATTCCTGCAGGCGTCGTTGGAGAGCGAGGGCGTGGCCACGCGTGTGCAGACGGCCTTCCGCATGAGCGAGGTGGCGGAGCCCTACATCCGCCGCCGCGCCGTGCGCCACCTCGAGAAGGGCCGCGTTGTGATCTTCGCTGCTGGGACTGGGAACCCCTTTTTCACCACGGATACCGCGGCTGCTCTGCGCGCGGCTGAGAGTAAGCTTCTGGAGTGCCTTGGGAGGGAGGGATCAGGGGTTGTTGGGTTGTGAAGCGACTCAAAAAGCACCGGCAAGGCAACTCAATGAATGAATGAATGGATCCGCATGAGCGAGGTGGCGGAGCCCTACATCCGCCGCCGTGCCGTGCGCCACCTGGAGAAGGGGCGTGTGGTGATCTTCGCTGCTGGCACCGGCAACCCCTTCTTCACCACCGACACTGCTGCTGCATTGCGCGCGGCTGAGAGTACGTTCTTCTTGGGGTGCTTTGGGGGGAGACGAGGGATCAGGGGTGGTAGGGTTCTGATTTGACTTATCAGAACCCTACCGCTGCGCTCAGGGCGGCTGAGAGTACGTGTAAAGGGGGAGCAAGTGTTCCTCGTATAAAGTCCGCGTGAACTGAGACGATTTGGGGGAGGTGCCGTGCCTGAGGGAATGTAGAGTGAATGTAGAGAAGGTGCCTGAGGGAGCAAGTGAATGTGGGGATGGTGCCACCAGTCCATCGTCATCTTTGCTGCTGGGACTGTGGGCAAGTGTGAATGTGTGAATGTGGGGAGCAAGTGTATACGTCTAAACTAAACCCGCCACCCTCTCCGATGTTCCTTCCTTGCCCATCCCTTCTCTCTTGCATTCGGCGCATGCGTGGTGTGTGATCAACGCGCTTCTGCGCAAGGATGGGCAGTCATCACTCTTGCTGAACCTCTTGTTTTGTCATCACTCTTGCTGAACCTCTTGTTTTGTCATCACTCTTGCTGAACCTCTTGTTTTGTCATCACTCTTGCTGAACCTCTTGTTTTGTCATCACTCTTCTCCCCGCTCCCCTCCCCCCATTCATGATGCTCACTCTGCGGTTCTATCCACTCCTTTTCTAACCCGTCTGATGGTATGATCATCATGCATGAGGGTGTGCATGAGGGTGTGCATCAGGGTGTGCATCAGGGTGTGCATCAGGGTGTGCATCAGGGTGTGCATCAGGGTGTGCATCAGGGTGTGCATCAGGGTGTGCATCAGGGTTCTTGCTCCTCTCTTTACCCCATCCCCACCGCCCCCAACCTCTTACTGCTCTGCTGCTTGAACTCGCCAGTCGGCATGGAGGTGGTGTGCTCGAGTCCTCACCAGCGTTGAACAGTCAACAACTCTCTTTTCCCCTCCAACCCCTGCTCTCCATGTTCTCCCGCACTCTCCCACAACCGTCACAATCCCTCTTCCTTCTCTCCCCTCCCCTCTTTCCTCGCCCCCAGTCGACCTTGAGGTGGTTCTGATGCCCACCAATGTGGACGGCGTGTACGGCTCTCTTCCTCTCCAACCCCTCCGTCCCCTGCTTTCCCCCTCGCCCTCCCACAACCATCACATTCTCTCTCCCCCCCCAGTCGACGCGGAGGTGGTGCTGAAGACCACCAACGTGGACGGAGTGTACGACTCGAACCCCCACAACCCCATTCTCCCCCCCCCCCCCCCCCCCCCCTCCTTTTCCCCCGGTCCCTGGTCCCTTTCACCCCCCTCCCTAATTCCATCTCCCAGTCGACGCGGAGGTGGTGCTGAAGGCCACCAACGTGGACGGGGTGTACGACTCGGACCCGCGCAGCAACGAGCACGCGCGCCTGCTGCCGCTGCTCTCCCACCGCGATGTCACTCTGCAGCAGCTGCAAGTCATGGACGCCACTGCCATCACGCTGTGCCACGAGAACGGGCTGCCAGGTAAGATGAGTCATGCGCTATGCCATGCAAGAACACTGGGTATGGTTGTCACTGCTGTGCTCTCTCCAGCAGCTGCAAGTCATGGACGCCACTGCCATCACGCTCTGCCATGAAAATGGCCTTCCAGGTGAGGGTTACGGCCGGCAACGCAATAGGACTGGGTGTGGGATCAATGCTGTGTCCTCTGCAGCAGCTGCAGCAGCTGCGAGTCATGGACGCCACTGCCATCACGCTGTGCCACGAGAATGGGCTGCCGGGTGAGAGTCATGCGCCCCGCTGCCATGCGATTAGACTAGGTATGCGCTGGGGTTAATGCTGTGCTCTTTCATGGGATCATATTCTCGCTGCTGCAGCAGCTGCGAGTCATGGACACCACTGCCTTCACGCTGTGCCACGAGAATGGGCTTCCAGGCGAGGTGACGGGCACGTCCTGCCGTGCAATTAGATGCATGGCATGGCATGGCATGGCATGGCATGGCAGTGGCCTAGTGAGACTGTTGAGACTGTGAGAGTCAAGCCCTGCCACCAGTGTAACGAGGTGACTTTTGAGTCCACTCACAAGTCAATTAGATGCATGGAATGGCATGGCAGTGGCCTAGTGAGACTGTGACAGTCAAGACCTGCCACCAGTGTTTTTTGCTGCGTATGCCAATTGTCACTGCCTCCCCTTTTCTCCCCCCTCAATCACGCTCTATCTCGCTTCCCAACCCTCCCCTCTTCCCCTCTTCCTCTGTTCCCCTCTCCGCCTCTCCCCATTTCTCTCTCTCCCCATCTCGCTCTCCCTCCCCTCTCTCCCTCTCCCTATCTACGCAGTGGTGGTATTCAACCTCACAGTCCCGGGCAATATTGTGCGAGCACTCAGTGGGGAGCCTGTGGGGACTCTCATTCTCCCATGATGCTCTCTCATTCCAAGCCTGTCCCACTTGCCCCCCCTCACCAACTATGCTAGCCTTTTCCAAGCCTTAGTACCACGTTCACATTGGTTTCCTACAGGGTCTCTTTTTTAGCACCTAAATAAACAGATGGCGAGCTCTCCACTTGCCCACCCCCCCCCCCCCCCCACCCCCCCCACCCCCCGGCCGAATTTCCGTATGCTAGCATATCCAAACCTTGCCTGTTCCTGTCGTTTGCCTCAAGGGTGCAGTGTTCGTTTGTTCACCTGGTCTGGTACACACCTAAATCATGTAATGGGGGGGAAGTGGGGGGAGGGAGGGGGCGAGGGGGTGCCTTTAAAAGCTTTGGAACATAACCTCCGTTTCATTATGCGCACGGTGTCAAAATAGGTTCATAACTTAGGACAAGGAACATAGGCTTTAGGCTAGGCAAGAGTATCGAGAGAGTTTAGCAAAGAAGAAAGGTGGTTCACTAATGAGCAAAGATACAAGATATAGTGCAAGGGACAAGGGAATGAGGTGCACCACCAATGTAACACTACACTAACTACTGCTACAAGCAGTTTATAGAAGAAATGTATTTCAACACACCCCCTAAACTGCTTGCAGCAGGAAGCTAATGCATAGACACCCCCTGAAGGGGTACACCAAGCGCAGCAGAAGGAGAGGGCAAGTGAGGAGGAGGAGGGACTATGAGGGGAGAGGAGGTAGGGCTGCCGCCACACGGGCGACTGGAGCAAATGGCACACAGACTACCGGAGCAAGGGCATCCGGACTACTGGAGTAATTGGCTCCGCGGCTAGACGAGCGGCTGGAGCAACTGACCCACGGGCGACTGGAGCAACGGGCTCACGGGCTACCGGAGCAACGGCATCCGGACTACTAGAGCTGCTGGCTTCATGGCGGCTACCTCCTTTCAACCTCCCACACCCCCTTTCCACACCCCCCCTTTTGCATCCCTAGCGCCACTCCCTCGGCTCCCCCACACCCTTCCCCCCTCAGCGGCAGCTGCAGCAGTGGGAGAGAGGAGGAGGAGGAGGAGGAGCAGCAGTTTACTCACACCCACCACCCCCATACCCTCCCTCCCACTGCTGCACGCGCAGCAGGGAGATCAAGGAGAAGGGGGGGGGGTGGGGGGGCGGGGTAGGAGCTGCGCGGGCGACAGTAGGGCGCGCTGGCGGGCAGAAACCGTCGCGCGTCCAGGGCGCGCGACGGGCAGAAACCGTCGCGTGCGCGCCCGGGGCGCGCGACGGGCAGGAAACCGTTGCGCGCCCGGGGCGCGCGACGGGCACGAAATCGACGCACGCCCAGGGCGCGCGACGGGCAGAAAATCGACGCGCCCCGGGGCGCGCGACGGGCAGCAGAGTAAGGCATTTGGCGGAAGCTAACGGTGGGCCCATGGGGTAATTAAAAGGTAACAGGCCAGGATCTTACGTGCTCTGATAGCATGTCAAAATAGGTTCATAACTTAGGACAAGGAACCTAGGGTTTAGGCTAGGCAAGAGTATCGAGAGAGTCTAGCAAAGGAGAAAGGTGGTTCGCTAATGAGCAAAGATACAAGATATAGTGCAAGGGACAAGGGAATGAGGTGCACCACCAATGTAACACTACACTAACTACTGCTACAAGCAGTTTATATAAGAAATATATTTCAACAAGCTTGCAGGCACACACATACTAAAAGAGCCAGCACCATAAGAGCCAACATTATCCTTCCTCCAATTTTACATCGGCACATCCTTTCCCCTTCCTCCCCTCATCCTTCGTCCCCACATGCTCCGCTTTTCCCATCCTCCCCCTCACAACATGCACTTTACTCGCACAAACGCCCACCTCCACCCCGTTCTCCGACACCCCACTACCGTACACATCCACATGCCTCAGAGCTCTGGCTTCTCCTAGTGACTCCGGTAGAGACTTGAGTGCCACGCACTCCCTCAATTGAAGCACTTCCAAGCGCGGCATCAGGCCAAGGGTGGGAGGGAGGGAGTGCAGGTGCTTGCACAGGTACTTCGTTCAGAGTAGTGTCGCCCAGGCTCTCCAATGCATCCACTGCCATCATGCACATGCCCAACACGAAGAAGCATCGCGTGGCACCATGCTCGTGATCATTGAACTTGAAGTTCACCTTGAAGGCCTGGCACCTCACGAGACACAACATCGCGCAACTCGCCTGCCAATTGTATTTTAAGTCCCAACCAACCTTTCCTAACTTTGAAACTCTTGGGCTGGGGGTTTTAACAGGCCTGCCGGAAAACCACACAGTCATACTATGTCAGGACGCGAATTCGCGTTAACGCGTTGCAGTGGCCAAACGCATCCTCGGCACACCCCCCCCATTTTTTGGGCCGAACGAATGTATGAACCTCGGAAACCCCCCGGGAGTGGGCCGCAGTAAGTACTGTGCAAGGCGCTGCCATGCAACATCATGGCAGCCGCAGCGGCTTACTCTCAGCGTCCGGCACTGGAACAGCCCTTGCGAGAGGCGTGCAGCAGCGGGCCACCACCAGCGCCACCAACGCCGCTCTCGTCAGTAGGTCTCCGCATCCCATCACGTGTGCAGGGCTGCTTTCCGCGGTGCGAGGTCCTCGCAGTTTATTATAAACCAGCGTTCGGGCAATCGATGGGAAGCTCTTCTCTCCGATTTTTTTTCGCGAGTCGCGTATCTTTCATATGATGATGATAGCTTAGAACTGGCAAGTGCGTACGCTTTTCCTGCCTGGCGATATCACTGAAAGATGAAATGGATTTGTGTTCTTGAGCTTGTATTGCTCAAGCAAACATGCCAACATGTTCACATCTTTGAGCACTGCAGCCTCCTGGGAATGTGCCCGAGTACACTGAGCACTGACAATCGACCATTTCCACCCCACAACGTACAATCTGCCCAACACACTACCAAACCAACAACCGGAATATTGTGCAACCTTTTTGGGTATGGTTGTTGCGATGCCAGCGCTGCTCGGCAGAGCGAACATTCGAAGGCATGCGACACCCCACCACCAGTAGCAGCAGCCCAACTTCCTCCGCTGGACTCGCAGCACGATGTATTGCGCCGTTGGCGCTCCAACGGGTGGAACCTGCTGCTCGGCTGGCAGGTCTTCACTTCGTGGAATCGCAAGACTTGATTGGACTTCCTGCCACGTTGTTACCTGCTGTGACTGAGTGAAAGACACCGCCATGAGTTGTGAAAGAAGTTGGCAGAATTAAATAATGTGGAAGTGATTACAACAAATGCTGAAATACTGAAGCATAAAACACATATAGCTAGGCGAGGACCACGATGGTTGGGTGCTGGTTCGGGGTTGTCAAAACGGAAGGCCAGCCGCAGTACGTTCGGGAGGCGAGGTCAGCGGACCGAGCCTGGTCTTTTGAAAGTTGGGGTTGTACTCGAACCGAGTGACCCAGTAAGGAATGAAGGAAAGTTCCTTACACTACCCCCCTTTCAATAAAGGAGGTCAACATCCGCCACGCGGCGGCGGGAGAAATAGTCCCGTAATACCGAGAGGACTTTGAAGCGAGTCCAATGATACCCACATATCGTCCTCACTGGTCCGAACGCGTTTGCAGTGGCCAAACGCATCCCCGGCACACCCCCCAATTTTTCGGGCCAAACGAATGTCCGAAACCTCGGAAATTTGGACCCCCCTGGGGTGGGCCGCAGTAAGTGCTGCTATGCAAGGCGCTGCCATGCAGCATCATGGCAGCCGCAGCGGCTCACTCTCAGCGTCTGGCACTAGAACAGCCCTTGCGAGAGGCATGCAGCAGCGGGCCACCACCAGCGCCACCAACGCCGCTCTCGTCAGTATGTCTCCGCATCCCATCACTAGTGTGCAGGGCTGCTTTCCGCGGTGCGAGTTCCTCGAAGTGATTATATCAATCCAGTGTTCGGGCAATCAATGGGAAGCTCTGCTCTCCAAATTTTTTCGCGAGTCGCGTATGTTTCATATGATAACTTAGAACTGGCAAGTGCGTACGCATTTCCCGGCCTGGCGATATCATGAAATTGATTTGTGTTCTTGTGAGCTCAAGCTACCAAGCAACTTTCATTGTGGTTTCTCTAACGTGCTATATTTTTCACATCATTGAGCACCTGAGAACACCTAAACTAAAACCAGGAATCGACCATTTGCACCCCACAACATACAACCTGCCCAACACAGTGCCAAACTGTTACGAGTGCAATTGAGCGAGCGAGCGAGAAGTGCACTATCGAAGCAAACAGTACAATGAGCGAAGGCATGAGCAAAGAATATATAGCGAAGCTACAGTGGTAACGGTAATGCGTGAAAATGGGGTGCGCGACGGGCCTGGCGCCGAGGTTGGGAATTGTCGAGGCGGAGGTCCGGAGCGCGGGTTACCAACCGAACCGTGAGGTTGGGTCGCGTCGTGAACAGTGGCGGGAGCAGTAGTCGAGGCGAGTGTTGCGAGTGGTAACGGTTTACTGTTGGGTGCTGTTGGTGGGAACAGTGGCGTACGCGCTGAGCAGGGACGCGAAGTAAGGAAAATGATTTTTCCTTACACTACCCCCCCACCTAAGGAGGCCCTCCTTACGAAAGTGCGTGTACGTCCCGGAAATTGCGGCTGCGCAGGTACTCGGTGAGGACGGGGTGGTTTTCAATTATGTCCAGGGGAACCCAGTTGTCTTCAGTGGGCGTGCGGTCTTTCCAGCGGATCAAAAATTCGATCCTGCGAGCTCCCCGTGGGTCCCGAACTCGGTGGCTTAATATTTTCTCGGGCGTGATGATTGGCTCTGTTGTCGGTCGTGTCATGCTGGCGGGGCGGTTGCGAGGCAACTGGCTGGTGGATGGCACGTATGGGCGGAGCAGGCTGACGTGGAATGATGGGCTGACGTACCAGTCAGCAGGGAGGAGGAGATGGGCGGTGACAGGGGTGATCATGTGGCTTATGCGAAATGGCCCGCAATATTGAGGGCGGAGTTTTGGGGTGATGGGCAGGCGGAGGTTCTGTGTGTCGAGTAGTACGAGGTTGTCGGGCTGGTA